AAAAAAAGAAGCTGTACTTAAAATGTAAAATATTGTTTGAAATCAAGCAATAATTGGCAGAACCTCTGTTGCTGCGGACCCGCCTGGTCTTTAGCTTTAAAAATAGAGGGCTGCCTTACTCATGAATGGATACAAAACATGAAATGCTGTTCAAAACCCCTTTATATTTGCATCATGTAACATATTTTCCAGCGAAAAGACATTTGCCCACAAAAGAAAAAAAAAATGCAAAAGAAAGGGTCATTTCTGGATTTAAAGTAAGATTCCTGCCTTGCAGAATAATACATCAATCAGAGAAACAATCTTGTTTTATAGCCCAGATAAAGCAGCATGTTTTCATTTCCCCTCCAGAATAAAAACACAACTCTACAATGAGCAATGAGTCATAGAGTACTGCAGTGTGAAAGAGACACGGTGAGGTATGACAGCACAGGAGGTGAAATGAGGAAAAGCGCAACGGAAATACAGAACATGGGGAATGAGTGTTTGATGAAAAGATGCATTAGAGGTCATGACAGCAGATGGCCATGTCGACAGGCATGACGCGGATGACAGGCGTGCTGATGGAGTGATGGATGGAGAAGGCAGGACCCTTCGTTTCAGATATGGAAGCTGTCAGACCTGCTCAATCAGCCACTGTGAAAGATGCTACACAGGTCATGAGACAGTGGAAAGAAGTGCTGTAAGGTTATACTGGTGTTACATCTCAGCACCCATGACAATTACTTATAATTTGATTGAATATTCAAATATTAAAAATCCAAGTTTTTTTTTTTTTTAACAAAAGTAAATTCATTCAGCAAGGATGCATTAAATGGATCAGTAAAGTGACGAAAGATTTGTATTTCAATTAAATGCTGTTCATTTGACTTTTCTGTTCATCAAAAAAGGATCATATGACACTGAAGACTGGAGTAATGATGCTGAAAATATATTCAAATAGAAAACACTTAATATTTCACAATGTTAATGTTTTTACTGTATTTCTGATCAAATAAATGCAGCCTTGGTAAGCATAAGAGACTTCTTACATAAAAATCTTACTGACCCCAAACTTTGGATTGGTAGTGTACGTGATTGGAAATATGATGGACATGATGCAGATCAATTATGAGCCCGTCTCATCTCTCTCACCAAAGGGAAACAATATGTTACTTTAATGTGGAGAAAAAAAAACTCACTAAAAACAGCAGTGTTGCATTCTGGGACATGCTGAACCAGTCCAGTCCAATGTTTATTATGACACAAGGCATATTTCTCTATCAAGTGAAACCGAAGACACATGTAGCACAGGGAATTTAGACACAGGTATTATGCTTATGTTAGTCTCAACACTATCATGAATTCCTCTCCACAGAACTCCACTTATTCCAATGAACTGCTCATCTAAAATGAATAGCCCTACAAAACACAATCTAGCATACTGCGTTTTTGAACAGTACTATGGTACTAAAGAAGCAGTTCCATTCAAATACATTGTTTATCATTCAGTGTCATGATGTATATCAAAGTACCATGGTATTACTACAGAATGTTTACCAAAGGGCATTGTTTCCAATCAAACACCATGTTTATAGTTATTCCTACTGGAAACTTTGTATTTTCTATCCAAGTTCTTGCAGGACCTGATTGAACAGGGAAAGACTGAAACCTCCAAAGTGTTTGCCAAGATGACATTTAAAAGGGTCATATGATGCGATTTAAATTTTTCCTTTCTCTTTGGAGTGTTACAAGCTCTTGGTGCATAAAGAAGATCTGTAAAGTTGCAAAGACTAAAGTCTCAAATCCAAAGAGATATTCTTTATAAAAGTTAAGAGTCAACCACACCTACCTAAAACGGCTCGTTCTAACACGCCCCCACATGTCTACGTCACGATGGGGGAAGATTTGCATAACGCCGCCCAAATGTTCACGCAAAGAAAGAAGGCATAACTTTTATTCGCGCTTTAGTATTGTATTGTTGCTGCTGCCATGTTGTGAAGGCGCTGTGTGTTTCGTTGAACATCATATGACCCCTTTAAAACAAAAACAAAAAATCCTGCACAGCTTGCACAACACTGCATTAAATATACTGTATTTTACGTGGGTCTTTTCCATCCGCTTATGACATTACCTTACATATCCACTCATTTTTGGTATGTGCGGTTTTCTACTTATTGTCAATAAAATTTCTATCAGCAAATGTATTTTAAATTTAGGTTGTTTTGATCTAATCATGCTAAGAAAAGTTATATATCCAGCTTGGTCTAATTAGTAACTAATTATAAACAGTAACACACGTGATGCATCTATCAAAAAGGGAATTTTTTTTTAACCCTATAAAGTCTACTGTATCATATATGATATTCAAAATACCAAGGCCTCTAAATCAACATGATCATAACTTGCAAGTAAAAGGTATTGTAGTATAATTTTAAAAATGTCCCCATTCAGGTTGTGGTACAGTGTCTTTTTGCTGTGAAATCTGATTCTTATAAAGTAAATTTAAGAATAACTTTAGTGTTGTGTATTTCAACACTTACTGGACTGAAACAACTTTTTAAAATAGAAAAGTCATGTTAAAATTGATCAAATATGATTAATCAGGCTTTTAGGTATCATTTATTTGTTCGTCTCTCAATCATCAATGTATTGCAGTGCATTATATGTTTTCTAGGGCTGCACGATAAATCGCATGCGATATTTAACTCGCATCTTATCAGTAAAGCCGGTTCTGTAATGAGCGGTAAATCTCCATCACCTGCAGGCTTTCACATTGAGCAGCATTAACTACACAGAGCCGTTGTTCACTGATGAGCTGCGCAAAACCACGTTCATATTCGCGCAGCTCGTCAGTGAACAACGGCTCTGTATAGTTAATGCTGCTCAATGTGAAAGCCCGCAGGGTGATGGAGATTTACCGCTGATTACAGAACCGGCTTTCTGACAAGATGCACATTAAATATTGCATGCGATTTATCGTGCAGCCCTAGATTTGCCATATAAATATCAGCAACTGCACCAAGTTTCATGAAACATTTCATTTCAGTTTGGGCCTCTGAATAAAACGGAGGCGTTTTCTTCCTTCTCAAGTATGAGCTCCAAATTCTCCTATTTCATACTTCATGAGCCATAAAATCCGCTTTGATAGGATGGCATTCAAATATTGTCTCGGGGTTTGAACAAAGGGCAGCTTTGGAGTCAAAATCATTATGCAATGCAACAATTCCATGTGTCAACAATTTATGTGTGTTATACCACTGAAAAATATCATAAATTTATGATGAACAAAATCATTTGTAGTGATTTGACCTTTTCATTTGTTGGTTTTGTGAGAGGCGGCAAACATTATCAAAATGAGCTGTGCTGTTTGCTGCAAATATTCAAATAAAGAACAGCTACATTTCTTTATTTAGGAATGAAATGATTAAATATTTTTAACAGGTAGTCAATGTTCTTAAATTACCCAGCGCTCGCAGCTTCAGAAAAGCGTTGTTTGGACCCTGGCTGTGCGCTGAATGGGAAGTGGAATCCCCCTACTGTATGTCTAAAGCAACACTCACGTGCTGTAAAGC